GCGTCAACAAAACCCATCAGAATGAGGGAGTGGAACCCTTTGTAGTTGTTATAAAATGAACCTCCATTTTGGGGGCATTTTATAGCAATATGATTCCCATCTAAAGCTCTAAGGACATGGTCTAGTTTCCATCTAATTCTGAACTGCTCAGCTAACTGTTGCCACTCATCTGTAGTTGTTGAACATGCAATTACTTCATCAGCATATTCTACTATTATACTTACACAAACTTCACGAACCAGCAAGGAAATGTATTATGTGGAACTCGAAATCCGTACATCAGACTTGTGTATGACTCTCCTGTTGCTAAATACCGACGTGTAATGTCCAACTTTAATCCAGGTTCCAAAGCTTTTCTGAACCACGTGTCTTGTCTTTTGTAATCTGTCTACAAGCTCTCTAAACATATCTGGCTCTACTCTTGGGAAGTTTTTCAATGACAATACAATCTCCGTTTCAAGTTCTTTCATCAAGCGATCAAAATACCGGTATTCATAATGAGTACGTCTGGTGACCCATGTTTAAATCCAGTATCTTCTTCTTTGCCTCTGTGGACGCCCGTCGTCAAATAAATTAGCAATTGCCTTGTCATTTTCTGCAATACTCTGTTCCAATTCCCTCAAATATTGCAGCAGTTGAAGCCTCCGCACGGTAGCTAATTCCATAATTATACAACTTTGAAATTTCAAGCAACCCTCTCTCTATATATCTACTTAAACCAAATATATTCGTAAGAACTCGTCACTGTTCGTGGGAATATCGTGTAGGCATCGTACAGACTTGTAGGTATTCGTAAGAGCATCGTATAAAGTCGTGTCTTATCGTACACATTCGTATAAGGATCGTATTGTGTTCGTCATTTTATCGTCTTTGTTCGTACATTACTCGCCAAAACTCGTTCTGTTGTCGTATAAGCCTCGTACATTGTTGAGCGGACATCGTAGTCGTATCGTGATACACTGGAAAAAATTACCATCTGTCAAAAAATACTAGGCTAGCGTGGCGATTGTCGGCGATTGATGGTTTTTTGTAAGTCGTGTGGAATCGTATCAAAAATCGTGACAGTGTGACACGGCCTTTAAACAAAATAAATTAAATTTAACATTTTTCTCTTACTTTTATTAAATATGAAAAAGTAATATCATTTTTCTCATATATTCTCAATGATTGGCTCATACCTGATCATGCACATAATAATTATATAAAAGTATATAGTCTTGAGCTACTATATACTGATTCAAAAATTGCATAACGACTTAGTGCTTTTAAAAAATTAAAATAATGTACTGTAAAACAATTTTTTTTTTGCTGTCGTTAAAAAAGGTAAGACAGATTATGACTTGAATTTAAAAAAAAATATATACTGTAAAAGCACAAATATTCGTGGGAGATTTAATTTCGTTTATTTCGTTGTTAACACTAATCAACGAAAATAAATCCCACACGAAATTTTATATGACTATATATTGAATAGACTTACTCTCAAAACAACGAAATTAAATACCCACGAACTTATTTTTTATGATAAATCCACGAAATTTTATTCCCACGAAAATTTCTGCTTCTACAGTACTTCAACTCTTGATTTATAATTGTTGTATTCTGTTATAGTGAGTAGGACATACACGTAACGATGCCCTGATGAAAAATCTACTTAATGTTAGTACATAATAGATATGTCTATAAAAAAAATCAGTACAAAACTTAATTAGACAAACTGGATTTTTAAACATGGAAATCCCCTAATTTACATATTATTTTTTTAAACTCTAGTCTCTCAGTGTTGAAAAAAAAAAAACGAGAGATAAAATATACGGTGATTTTGTCAATCTCTATAAAAAATAGTGTAACAAATGTAACCCTTTAATTCGGTCAATGGCAATCCTTAGATATTTCGACTTCACAGACAAGCATAAATCGCTCGGTCGATATGCATTTCTGTGAAGTCGATAAATCTATGGATCGACCTCATCAGAAGGCTATATTTATATGATATTATTTACGCTTCGTTAAAAAGATATTAACATTTAATGACGCATAAAGTTGATTAAAAACAGCACTGTAAGCAGAGTCAGGTGGTGTAAGATTTGAAAATATTGATAGTTTAACTTACACTTCAATTGAATCTACTGACCCTCTAGACTGAACGTAGTTTGCTTCGACTATCAAAATCTTCCGTATTCTTCAAAGATAAAAACATTTTTATTTACTTTATGTAACTGATCTAGAACAATGTGTTCTTCCATGAATACGAGTATGTGGTGATATCATAATTTCCCCCAGATTCATATATGAGAATCCCTGTAGAATTAGATTTATAACTCTGTTCATTTTGAAAAGGGTTTGTCTAGCATAACAGAATAATTATGTTAACACTCTTAAAGTACTTACAAAGACAAACAACAATATTATTTAGGTTGCCAAACTTTTTTAGCTTGACATTAGGTCGTTCTGGGAACTAACAAAAAACTTCCATTAATATTATTCTGACCATTTTCTCGAAAAAATGTTTCATCGAATAAGTTAAATGACAAAATGGTTGATTGATTGTATACTGTTTAACGTCCCTCTCCAGAATATTTCACTGATATGGAGACGTCACCATTGCCGGTGAAGGGCTGCAAATTTAGGCCTATGCTCGGCACGTACGGCCTTTGAGCAGGGAGGGGTCTTTATCGTGCCGCACCCGCTGTGACACGGAGCCTCGGTTTATACGGTCTCATCCGAAGGACTGTCCCATTTATTCGCCTTTTACGACAAGCAAGGGGTACTGAGGACCTATTCTAACCCGGATCCCCATGGGACATGGAAAAATGATGATTCATATATGACTTTTGTCCGCTAAAATATTATCTGTTCCTTCCTTGACACCGTATGATTGATTTGTAAATTGAAGGAAAAAGAATTGGGAAAAAAAACAAACAAACAAAAATAAATATTCCACATGGTCTTTTTCAGATTTGACATTATTATATGATTAAACCAGAATTTAACGTTTCAAAGGTGGGGAATAAAACGGAATATGTTTAAGAATATATGTGTTTACTTTTCAAGGATGGGGAATAAAACGGCAAATGTTTTAGATAATAAGTGTTTACTTATTTCTTATTCAACATGGTCAATACTGATATCTCCAATCGTAGATCGTTATACCGCTACTGTACATGCAGAGTTTGCCATTTGCCAAGACATATTTTATATTTTTTTACTACTTGGAAATAATTTACAAATAGTTTTTAAAGGCTGCAATGTCAAGACTGCCTTTCCTTGGTCCAAGAATACAAGATTGAATATGCAAGTCAAATTATTTCCGGTAAGCATACATTTATGTAAGACTCTTATCTGCAAAAAATGATTCATTTTATAAAAATTTCATCATATTATTTAAACAACAGCTCTTCTGAAATCTTTTTTTTTTTTATAAATCAACGTTTATCAAATAGTATTACTGAATTCATGAATGATGACTGAATGGTCACTTGTTGCAACCACTATTGAAATAACGACCAATATTGAAATAATTATATCAATAGTGGTTGAATGTGTATTTCAATAGCAAACATAGTTAGTAGCCACTATTGAAATACAACCACTATTGATATAATTATATCAATAGTGGTTGAAAGTGTATTTCAATAACAAACATAGGTAATAACCACTATTGAAATACGACCACTGTTGAAATATTTATTACAATAGGGGGTGAGAGTGCATTTCAATAACAAATAGAGAAAGTAACCACTATTGAAATACGACTACTATTGAAATAATTATTTCAATAGTGGTTGAGAATGCATTTCAATAGCAAGCACTCTCAACCACTATTGATATTATTATTTTAATAGTGGTTGCATTAGTTACTAATCATCGTCACCCAGTGAACGTAATGGTAAATGTTAGAAACCTAGTAGTGATGACTCGGTGACAATTCAAAGCCGCTACATCCGATACAGGCATATATTATCTTCAACAAAAAACGTACATCATTACATAGATAATATATAGAAATAAATTATAAGATTGATTTAACATTTTATTACACAATCCTTACATGAAAAACATAGATCAAAAACCTTATTGACAAACAGAAGCTCCTGACGGAAATTTAATATCTGTTGTGAAGTCACCTTTGAAAAGAATAACTTGAATTCGTGACGACTTTATTTCGGGATTTACCAGGGATAAACTAGTTTGCAACGATTAATTTTCGCGACCAAGCCTTTTTTGTCATTTTTAATAGACAAATACACTTTAAAGTTCACGATGACGAGGAACTCGAGAACTTCGCGAAAATATCTCGCACGCGAATAAAAGTTGGTTTACAATATTGCTCGTGTACAGGTATAAACGCTTTGTTGTGAAAAAATGATTTTCATGAGCTATACATGTACATGTAAGCAATAAATTTGATTTTTCGAAGGTGATTTCACGCAGTATCAATAAAGGATTATTTTTTGTGTGGCCTAATTTTTTTTTACATTTGAATTTTTATATCTTTTAAAAGAAAAAAGAATTTGGGGGATATAATTTGACAAAAATTGATACAATTTATGGACAATCATTCAAGAAGAGAAACGAATATATTATTTTTTAGCGATTAGAATCGGACTAAGAGGCTTCAACTATATCCGATGTGTATATGTTTTATGAATTACATGCTTCAAGAAAATGAAAAGAACTTTACATGTAATCAAAAATTAAATATTGGATCGCAAAATCAGATCAATGTTATACATATTCGTATATCCATAGTTATATTTCAAAAAAAATATTTAATTCAATAATATTTCTTATGAATAAATAGCAGAAAACTCCCTTTTTATCAATGAGACCCAACAAGTCTTAAAGTTTCTATCCTGAAAATTATTCTGGAGAATGACGTGGAATTATTTTGCTTCAATGGAATTTTTTTTTGGAGTCTTTACTTGAACTTACAGTTTAAAACGAAAGTCACTTGAAGTTTACAGATATTTAAAAGGTCACAGCAGATTGTACGTGAAAAAGATTCTGAACACGGAAGGTAAGAACAAGGTCTGATTTACAATTACTTATTTTAAAAAAATCGGTTAGTTTTCCCTTTCTAGTTGAATTAAAAACATTATTTTATTCAGATCGGGGACACGTAGAAGTACTAACTGAGAAGAGAATTAGTAAATGTATTGAAAGTGATTATATTTATTTCTAATATTAAAACCATTCATTTCTCAAACGTTAATGTAAAAGTTTTAGGGGAGGAGCGAAATTAGTAATATACTAATGGTTTTATTATTACGTTCCATCTTTAAAAAAAAACTGAACATCCAAGTCTTCTGATCTCTGAGCCTCCAAAATAAAAGAAATCATAAAGGAACATAATAATTATACTTATACATGTAATCATTATAACAACAACAATAATAATAAAATAATAAAATTTAAGAAATGAAAAATATAAGAAATTTAACCTGAGAGAATACTTTTATTTCTGAGGCAGATACATGATTAGAATTTATGATAGCTAATTGACACGTTATTTGATATGATTTTACACAGACATTGTTGATAATCTTATGACTTTGGCAGTCTTGCAATTTATATATCAAGGTCAAATTCTAAATATATATCCAGATAATAGTATACTTTTATTCATACTACCCATACTGAAAATACATGAGAATTTTGTTTTTCAAAAGACTGTTTAAAACACTGTATGTTAATTTGTTAACGATAATTGTTAAGGGATTTTTTTTATGAATAAAAGTTCCTTATATTCCAATATCTCGTCAAGTCTGACCAGTTTAATTCATGATACACATAGTAATCTCTTTTTACCGATCAATAGCATTCTTTTCGTGAGATTCAATCGCATGAGACATTTAAAAAACCACAAAACGGTTTTTAAAGATAGACTATAAATCGTCTGTTGCATATAAATATCCCAATGTTAGTAGGTGTGTATAAAACTATCCCCGTATTTAAAAAAAAAACCCCGAATATTGTATAAAACGTAAAACACACTTGAGTATTTTAGATAAAATTAAGGAAATAAAATATTCTCTTTATTGTCATAATGGATAAATATATTACATTGTGCAAGTGCAATGTAAAAATTGTTAAAAATTCAATGGAAATGTGGATTTCAATTTCCTAAGAGGATGCTTTACGTTTGAAAAATTTGTAAAACGAGGCAAGCTTTTTGTAGAAAATGAAATAAAATAAATTAAAGGTGATGAAACAAGGATATCAGTTGTCGCATTTTAAGTCAACATTTTGCGAATTCTACAGATATGGTTGTTGTAATGACTCTGTCAACAAATAAAGTCTATCAGTCATTAAAGAATGTTAATCATGTATCTAAATTTCTTATTACAGCAGATAAAAGCACTGACGTTTCCACAAACACAGAACTGTAAGTTGTTTGTTATATGTACATGTAGAAATTCACCGGTAAGCGAGAGAGAAATTATCTAGAAGTATATATAATAGTTGATCGGCCATCACAACAGATTAGTCGTTAGAGCTCTTGTTCCGACGTTTTTGTGTTAAAAGTACGGCTTGGACCGGCCTGAGTCAGTAAGCAACTGTTACTTTGCCAAGCGCTGAACAGTCTGAAGAGAAAATGTGGGTCTTTTGGATTTTGGACCCTAGTCCCGTCCCATGGTTGGCACGTGAAGAACCATTGCTGCTCGATGGCCCTGAGTAAAGGTCTAAAATTAAAACCATCATATGTTTTCGGTGACGTCACAAAATGAGTGATAAATTCTCGAATGGGACGTAAATGTAAATGAGATATAACTGTACTTCGTAAAATAAATGAAAACAAGCCAATGTCGACAAAAACAAACTGTTGTTATTCTGTTGTGCTATATCTGATACTTGCAACCGACGACTCTTCAATTACTTGAAAATTGATAATAATGTGATGAGAATTTGCAGCAACGGCGTGTAAAAAGATTCTTTAAAAGGATGGCGGTTAAATATTATGAATGTCGTGTGTAATTATTTTGACTTGGAATAAGATAAACAGGTATTTTTTCAGCCATGATATCTTTTATAGAAAACAACCGCTATTTACGTATCCAAATCGGACATTCTGTCACGCAGCACAGTTAAGGTTACCAATGGAAATATTAGCGATTTTTAAAGATAAAAAATACATACTTTATTAGGATGGGCGATTCTTTTTAGGACTTCATTGATATAAAAAAATGTAATGTGGTTTATATCTACATGTCGGGGACATTTAGATTTTTTATTTAGACTTGTCATGTGATGTCGACGTCACATGACTTGGGCAATTATACTTGCAGTTTAGAGGACATCTATAAATTTCAATATTGCAAGGGCATACCCAAGTTAAAAATCTTAGTTTATTTTATAGTCCTTTTCAATACTATATGTAGTTTGTGAAAAGTGCTGCGAACCTATAGAGATTCCCTTTTTTAATTGGTAAAAGTAAATTTGTTGGACGACAGGTTGAATATTTTGCTGGTCAACTACATTAAATATATCTATAATTAATTTATTTGCAAGATTTCAAGAGGTTCGCAGCACTTTTCAAATATCTTAATGCTTCTTGAGTTTATGTGTAAAATTTTGACAAGATACATTGAGGGTATGCCCTTGCAATAAATCGATTTATTAGGGCCCTTCCATTACTTTTTCAATGAATCTGCATACAAACACACGACAGTATCGCTTGTCTGGAGAATGCACGAACATTTTATAAATAAAATACTATAAAAGACATGGCATCCAAGTTTTCTTTTTAACTGCAAATAATATTTTATTTGAGAACAAAAGACATTTTTCTTTGTACAAAATCAGCCTCTCACTGTTTACAAACTGCGTCATTTTTGCGAGATGACGTCACATTGACAAGTACATTACGATCGATGCATCGTTTATATACTGTTGTGTGGGATTTAACAAACGACAATACTGCATGTAACAGTAAGTTTGGATGCAGTATAAAGCTATCCAGCTGTGCGAACCAGCAAATAATTTCATTTTGTGGTATTTTGAAGACCTTATATTATGTGTGACGTCATAGTAAACATTTCCCGTACAAATTAGGCCCCGCCTCCTTACTGTAACCTTAACTGTGCTGCGCAGTCTTTAGCGATCGTCACTTAGAATAATTTTTTTCCTTAATCAGAGAGTATTTTTCTAGCAGCATGTTTTAGGCATTCTAAATTTTTTCAGCTATATAGTTTAATTCTGGTTGTAACGATGTATTTGATTGGATAAAAAAATTATTTTATATCGTATCAGATGGGTTGCCTACGTCACAATGACTTACGTCAAAAACGTATCAATCCGCCTCACGTTACATTCAAATTTTGTACAAATTGAAGTCATCTTGCTAGAACAATAATTTTTTTTTCTGAATCAAATGAGTAAAAATTAATTATTAGCAATGAATATGATAGCTGCCCATTTTATACGGTATAAACTGTGTTGGAAAAATCGTAAACTGCCCCAACACAGTTTATACCGTATGAAATGGGTAGCTATTAAATTCCTTCCTTAAATAATTAATTTAAAGAAATGATATGTTTCGAAAACCGCGGCAGTGTTGCTCAGTTTACTTTTTTGAATGAAAATATATTTTATTAATAGCAGCCATGTGATAACTTTGTGTTGGCGCACTTCTTGACCTTAAACAGTCTATTTTCGTTTTGCGATTGTTTATAATAGATTAGATTTATTGAAAACTTATCAGACTTAAATTTCAAAAAGAAGAATAAACACCCGAGATATGATTTGAATTCTTTCTTAACTTGCCCTTGTGATTAATATCTTTTTCCTCAAATATTGATTTAGGTGTATTGTCATTGTAATTTTTGTTTGTAACTTTACATTATTATATATAATCATTAATATTAAATTATTTATTATTTATATTTAAAGGAAAGAAAAACTGACTATGCATATCTCTCTATTTCTGGGATTTATAACCAGTGTATACAGTGAGTATTTATGTTCTGTATATTTAGGTAATTGGTGTTAATTTAAGGATAACCGTTCTTATTTTTAAAGACGATTAACAATAGTGAATTACATATTAGTTTTCATAACATATATTTTTTTAAGAAAATAAGGGATCTGTAATAAGTTGCAATCTTGATTATTTTACACTTCAAATATATTAAAGTCTATGATGAGTATAAGAGTTTTGCATTAATAATAACTCACATTCTACATGTACCACTTATACAATAATAGATACGAATATGTATAGTAAAACTTGACTAATCCGGCCACCAATGATTCCAAAGAAATTGGATCGTTAAGACAACATTTCAGCTTAGACAATGCAAGTGATTTAAGGTTTCTTTGCAAATAAGCTAATAAAAATGAATAGATTGTATATTTTATGTACTGAGAAAGTGTAAATTTATTTTCTTATGCATGCTTAGTATCCACAGTATAGTAATGCAACTGCACATAATGACGTCATCTTATGACGTCATTGCTCTTTCCCATCCATGTTAATAAAACACATCAACAAAACAACGTCGGCGCAAGGGCATCTCCTATGTAATTAAATGTAAATAATGTATAATGTTTAAAAATATAAATGAAATTGCTGCACAAATCCAATGCATTTTCTTAATCGATAAAAAGTTTATGAAACTTATACTGGACTGTGAATTTCCCCTATTAAAACTTATAATTGTCATTTGTGCAGCAGTATCTTAAATCCTTAGAATATCCTGCGTCTTTTTATACCTTAATTCTACAAAACAAAGTAAAGTTTGGCCTTGCACCGAAGAGATTTTGTTTCTGTTTCTTAAAAACTTGTGTAGTAGAGGTCAATGACGTCATAATGTGCACATTAAAAAACTCTATAGATAGCCTTAACTCACTTGCGAACATTTTAAATAATCGAAAAAACCGGAAGGGACTTAAAGTTTACAGGTTATTACACATGATTAGAATACACAGAGTCCGGAGTAGACAGGATTCACTGTATTTCAAATAGTATTCTGAATGATAATAACAATAATAAAACAGACACATTTTCTACACAGAAGTTTTTATGGAAGTAGTACTTTTGATATCCTGAAAATGATTATGTTTCAGCAATAAAGGATGGGAACTTTTTGCTTTTTACTGATTCTCGAGAAGGCGAGATATACAAGATGAATTTATCGACGTATATCAGTGAACCTTTGTTTGGCTTCCATCCCAATCCTGTTGCTATAAGTTTCGATAAAGCCAAAAAAAAAAACGCATTTACTGGTCAGATAATGGATAACGTCAGTTGAAATCTGGTGACCTTGAAGGTTAAACGAACAGAGTAGTCCGTTACCTTGGAAACGGTAAGTATTTTCGGAAGAGATTATCACTAACTATTGATGTAAGTGAAAATAACGAAAAATAATCAAACTCATTAAATTTTTGAATTATAAAAAAAAATTTCAATATGCATCCAAAAGAATCAGAGTTGTATGAGATGATTGGGAATACTACATGTAGGTATTTAATGTCGATCAGTTGCACCCACTGTAAACTACATGTATATGCATTCCATTTACAGATTCCGTGGTAGATGGGATTTCCGTAGACTCGGTGTCTAGGTTGCTGTTCTTCACAGATTCGGGATATAGCTCTATTTCTGTAGTAACTCTAGACGGAAATAATTATCAGAATAAGATCATAAAGGAGCAGTGGATAAGCCAAGATCAATTGTTTCGGATTAAGAAACTGTGTAAATCATACATGGTCCGCTTCTTTGACGATAATATCACAAAAAGTGTTTTAATGTCAAGATAACTGATGAGTCCTTTTTATTCATCTTATATGGTAATCCTTATCTATATCACTACCCTTTATTTTCTTTTTCAATTAAAGATATGTATGCAATCACACATTGACACAAATAAATTCTGATATACATTTTTTGAAGTAAAATTATTATATATATTGAACATCAAATAGTATTTAAAATATCCGTCTTGTTCTCTGACGTCCTAAAATAGTTAGTTTTACAGGGTTATATATTGGACGGATTGGGTTGAGAGTCCAAGGATTGAACACTGCATGAAAATGTGGCTTTACAAAACAAGTAAAGATAATGTAAATTTATTATTTACAATGCCTTTTGTTGGCTTTTCTGAAAAAAAAGTCAAAGTTGGAAAAGATAACCTTTACATAAACTTTACTTTCACTTAAATATGATGTAATGTCCCACATTGTTTAGACTTTACAAAAAAGTAAAGTTAATATTTACAACCATTAAACACTATATTTAGGATATATTAAATCTGATAATTACCAGATCTTATATTTAATTAAATACCATCTTTAATTACCACAAAAGTTAATAATTTCTGTTTTCCATTCTAGTGAATAAAGCCTTATGCAATTTATAAATAAGATTTTTCTCTCAAGTCGATACTGCAGAAGTCTGGACATCATCATTAATATATACAAAGTAACAAAAAGTTGACTTTAACTTTGTTTATTAAATTTTTTTTACAAACATAAGATAAAAAACATCAAGATTCTTGACAGTATATGTTGCCAACATCCTATCTTGCAAATCACATACACTTAAATAAGTATCGAAGACAGAGTACATTTCACGAAAATGTTTTTCGTACGTGACATCTTTTATAATAAAACCAACAGTACATTCTTGAATTTAAAGTTGTGAATCAACAAAAAACTACTATGTTCCTCTTTCTTGTGGATATTGGTTTCAGTGGAAATCAATAACTGTCAAAATGTATTTGTCACATCTTCCTTTTCAGAGTCCAAAACTTTTCTTCCCATGCAGGCATTCTTCTAATGCTTTTCCTAAAAGAAAAAATAAATAAATCTATAAGTATATTTTCAGTGCTATGCATAAGTATGCATATTTTCAAAGGCATCTGTTATCAGAACTCACAATACCATGATTAATAAAACTAAAAACAATGCACAACCTAATTAATAAATAAAAAGTTCATATATGACCTTTAACTTGAAAAATAGAAAATGTTTTTATTTAATAAGATGAGTGGACCTCTTATTATTGATATATTATATGAAGAATGAATGGGTTAGGTCATGTATCCCTTATCAAAAAAATCCTAAAGCCTAAAATTACAATTTGAGAATTATGTATTTTTTTATGGGTACTAAACATAAACAAAGAATAAATCCCTGAAATATAGAGAAATCATAGGTTTTCACATAGTTAGTTTACAAAAAGAACAAAATAGTGCTACATATTTAGCTTAGGCCATAAAGAGTTAGTTAATTGGTTCTCAGGCTTTTTTTTAAGAAATATGATAAGGGAAGGAGGCATTTTTTTATACAGTTATGGAATGGGTACGAGGGAAATAGCAAATTTATGGTTCCCCGGGGGAGGAAACAATTTCCCGAGGCCTTGAAGCCGCCAAGGGAAATAGTTTACTGCCGAGGGGAACCATAAATTTGCTATTTCTCGAGTTCACATTCCATAACTGTTTTATTACACCGAAACAATCATAGGCGATTTATTTATTTTTTTAACAGATATTCCGACATTAAAAAAACACTGTAGAGGCATAATTACAAATGAATGCTGTTAAAAAGATTGTATGATAAGTAATCTATTGTGTCCTAAAACAATTAAATTATTTTTTAAAAGTATTTTCAATGACATTTCGAATTAACGTTATCTTCATTATGCTAGAATTCAAGTATGATTTTGACATCGCATGTCGAAATTTTTTGACGTCATAGTTACATTGCTAATAACATGACGTCACAGACTCGAGATTTCTTGAACGTTAACGCTCCGCCCACTGAACACTTTGATTGGTCAAAATTACTAATAAATATTCATGAGGGAGTAGTGCCAGGGAGTAGCTCCGATTTTCCAGGGAGTAGTCTTCAGATGAGGGAAATTGTCTCTTCTCTGGGAAATAGACAGTTTTATGGTATTAATTTTTATGTAGAGTAATTACAGAAGAGGTATAATAATCTTTTTTATTGCCCCCAAAACATGATGGGGCAGCTTTTTACATTGTACAAAACCTCAAAAAATGATGAGGGAGGTGATTTGGTGTTGATGTTTTATTGATTTAAAAATAAAAAGGGTCAATGAGGCACCCTAGGAAGAGATGAGGGAGGGCCTGAGAACCAAGAAATTATTTTTTTTTTGCCTTAGCTGTACATGTGTACAGAATCATACTCAAGTTATGGTTTACGATATATGTACCTTTTTACCAAATAGCATGTTTCTGCTCATGAACTTTTTCCTATTATGGAACAGTAAAAGGACTTAAGGTGAGAGTCCCTCAAATTTATGATGACAATCATGCTGAAATAGAATTCATACAGTGATTTACATTTTATACACCTGGACAAATATATAGTCAATATTTTTATTAAAAATTATGAGTTTGAAGTACACGGTCAACAAAGAGTGAATTGATTTTGAAAATTCATACACAATCCAATCACAGTTAATAGCTATGAACTGCCAAACACCCTTTTTTATCAAGAATACTTTAAAATTAAATCTAAACAATAATTGTCATCTATAATATGAAACTTGAGAACCTGCCTCTTCTTCATAGCAGATCTTTTAATTTTATCATGGTAGGCTGAGTAGCTTGAGCCTATACAAAAGAAATTGCATTTGAACATTTTATACAAATACATCTGACAATAATGACTCCCGAGCAAGTCAAGCACTAAATAATGTAAAGGTTTGTTCAAGTAACATTTCACGATACTTATTATTTGATTTTTTTTTAAAATCTGCTTGTACCAAAGAACTCAATCATGTTTTGTCGTCTTCCTCGCCCCGTCTGGATGTTTTCCCTTCAATAATCTGCAAACTGATTTCACTCAACCTGTATTTTTACAAAATCGACACAATTAAAATACAAAATGTTATAAATAGAATAAACTTATTTGTCAATTTAGGAGTTGAAACTCTCAGCCAAGGCATAAATACATCTGTAACTAAGTTTTATGACAACTGATTGTGTATATTCTCAGTAATTAGCAAAAACCCGGTTTCAGTTTCAAATTCCCGGCCCGGCTCGGTTTTAACTACTTATTTTACTCCCACTCCAGATTTGTTTTTCTTTGTCTTGTTTAATATTCCAGAGACATACACCTTTACAGAATAAACTGAAACCCATAAACATTTAATCCCCAAATTATCAAAATACTAATCTAACATTCTGGCAGTAAATAACATATATACAGCGAAGTTTTGCCTGACTTTAATTGTTTCACTACATGTATGCACAATGTACTGATCTATGCTGAAAGTGAAAACGGCTGGAAATCGTAAACAAACCTGCAGTGCATGCCAATCCGGGAGTTTGAGCAGTTGTCAAGACAAGAATCTCCTGAAATCTAGATGAGCTTTCAAGAAATAACCACAAGTTGCAAACTTCGTCAAAATAGCGATGCAGACCCGCTCCACTTGATTTGAAATGATTGGCTCTTCAACAGAATACACCGTGCCATATTTGGGTTACTTATCAGAGTACAGACTGTGAACAAAAGTATCGGAACGATTTACGTCGTCGTTTTATAGTTGGAAAATACTCGCGTTTGATTCGATGCTTAAAATAGCCGTATTACGTAAAAGCTAATACATATAAATTACAATTTTTGAAAGAATAACAATTTTGCATTTCTCTGATTAAAACAAAGGTTATTTTTTAAAACTTACCATAATATTTTGTGATGTATCCTTTGGCCCTACGTACCGCGTCGATTCTTGTGGGGAGAGATCGATATAAATTTTGAATTGTTACGCAATCAAAACGAGTCCAAATTGAAAATATTTTATCATATAATTGTTCCACAGAAGTTATTTCCTGCATGGATTGTTCTATTTTTCTTTAAATCTTTAACCATAAATTTTCTATGATGTTAATATCGGGGCTCTGCGCTGGCCACTCCATTGTATTGATATGGCTGTTTTCCATGAAAGCTTTCGTTACCCTAGACCGATGAACTGGTGCATTATCATCTTGAAAAATATAATTATTGTCCGGAAAGTGTCTTGCTATCACTGGCCATAGATTGTCATCTATAATTTGAATATATTTATCTGAATTTATGTTTCCCTCCACACGTGTTAATTACCCGACGCACTGATAGGTTATGCAACCCCAAACCATCACGGAAAGTTTCTTGTTTTTAATTGGTGAAATGCACTCTGGTCTAAATGCTTCGTCACTTTTTCTCCAGATGTAAACTTTATT